AAAGCAAAATCATACCTATAAATTTAGCAATTTCATTCTTATTACTATGTATCTATTACATTTGATGTTTTCGGAACAGACAAAGTGTCCAAAAATTTCTGATATGGTTGTGAATTCTGCTTGAATTTTTAGTATAATAATTTCCATTGACATATAGCTACAAACTGTATAAAAATATAATAAGGTTATTATCATATGTTTTTTCAACACAAAAACATTACTTGGAATATTTTCATCGCTATATACTTTTTTTTATGTCTTCTTTCACAAAAGTACGATAAATTTGCTGTTAAACAGTTCTGGAATGACAATTTAATGGATTATATATTTTTGGATTGTTAAACTTAGAAATAATTGAGTTCCTATTGAATAATATGGTCATTAACCATAGTATTTTCATCAATCTTCATTATCTTCTATGAAATTTTTATTTATAACCCCCATAACTCAACATTAATGACATAGGGGAGAGAAAAGGGGGGGAGAGTTGTTGTTCTAGAGGTATAACCAGAGTGGTTAGGTCAAGATTCATTCTATGGCTCTGCCACAAAAAAAATCTCACCCAACCCAGGCTGGATTTGAACCCAGCCCAGGTAGGCTCTCGAATGTTTAAGTGGACAATGCTCACTTTCTACGAATTGTAGAATTATATTTAAGATTAATTTTCCTAAAATGTTCATTTTTCCAATGAAATATTATACATCTATCTTATTTCCAGAAAGTATAAAAACATGTGTTTTGTATGATACATGTAGAACTAGAGGTGAAAATAATTTTGCCTCAAGAAAAAACTTATGGATCTAAAAAAAAAATTTGGTTGAACATATAATCGTGTAATTTATTTTTTAAAATTTAATTTTATAAATATTTATGGGGGTATAATTCCAAAACCTGCCAATTCCATTTTCCAATGTCTTATTTATTTTTATGTGGAGATGGTTGACCGTCGATACTAATTTAATAAGAAGTTAATCAGGGGTGCGGTGAATATATAAAAAATTATATTACATAATGGTATTTTTATTGAATTATTCAACGTTTCGACATACTGTAGGTCTTCTTCAGGACTAAAAAGATCCAAACATTATAGGTAAATTGTTACAGGGTACCATAAATGATAAAAAAATATTTATTGATCTTGAAATAGTACAACTTATATGAGAAAGTAACTGTGGAAATCTCAAAATATCATAAGTGATGTGGTGCAATTATAGCATAGTTTGTAGTACAACGTATTTTATGTATAATTGACTTACTAGGTTATATATTAGCTGTGTAATGCATTCATTAATCTGATAAAAAGGTTAATGAATACGTCATTAATACATACATCATGTAACAATTAACATATGTTTGTATCCTTTTAGCCATGAAGAAGACCTACAACGTAGGTTGAAACATTGGATAATTCAGTAAAAATTATATTGTGTAGTATATTATTTTATATATTAACCGCACCCCCGACCAACTTCTTCTAAAGTTTTATTTATTTATTTTTTAATTTACTGTTTTGAAACTAGGCAGTTTTCCCCTCACGATTCAACTGCTCTTGTAAGAAATTTATGCACCTAATGATGAACCAATACCAAAACTGTTAATATAAAAAAATTGTAAAATGAAGTTTCTACAGGTTTCGGATTATTTTTTTACAACAAATCTTTTATAATATAAATGAAAATGTTTTTTTTATAAACTTCATTATTTTCTTAATGTCTGCATTGTAATTATTATTTATTAACATTGAAAAGTATGTTTCAGTGTAGCCAATTTCCTCTAAATATTAGCTTAAATCAAGTGTATATAATTAAATAATTTATTATTTCTTTATTAGATAATATTAGACTGTTTGACAATCTATTTATAATTTATATTATTTTATTTTCATATGTTGTTCCCGGAGGAGCTTTCCGTGATCTGCATCATATTCATCTCTTCTTCCCTCACTTTTCTATTTAAAAAACATAAAAGATTGGAACTGTGTCCGTCCTTCGTCTCGCCTTATATCTTTCAGAGAACTGGACTCCCCTCAGTAAGATTAGTTTGGCGACTGACCTGGAAAAATGGGAAAAGTCAGGACATTTTTTCAGTACTTAAATTTTTTTTTTTCAAATTGGATATCGTTTATAGTGACCTTGAAAGGGTAAACTTTGTCATTATAAACGACCACGGTCACTATATTCATCCACCTTTTACTGTATATAACAGCACTGGTCGCTATGTTGAAATCAAATGAGAGTAATGATTAAAATTTAAACAAAATGGACTTAAAACAGGGTTATTTTTTTAAAAGAAAAACATACCAATACTGTTTACTATTTGTAGTATATACTTCTGGATCAAGATCTGGCTGACAAGCACTCGTTCGTTCGACCCCTGGTGCTCCTTAAAAGAGCATTTATTAACCAGATATTTCACTGTTGGTGTCATATGGATAATTATTATGCTGTTTATATTAATAAAGAAATTAAACTTATTAATGAGAAACTGCATTAATATTAGAATCCTCCATAGCTCACTTTATTTTATAATAGAGAAAATCAGAGCTTTACACGTATATATATTTTTATTTGATACTTTACTTGTCAAGTATACTTTACTTTACACGTCAAGTATCAAATTTTATCTCCTCTCAGTTTATGAAAATAAAATAAAAGCGATAAAAATAAACTACTTAAAGTTCAGTTTTCTAAAATAAAAAATCCTGAACAAGCTTAAAAAATGCTTCCTCTAAAACATTATATTTGATTTTCTTTCATTTATAATACTTTTATAAATTGTACATTTTTAATATTTGTGTCCCCAGACAAAGTAGTCAGGGAATTTTACTTTAACTGTCTGGTAGTCACTCTCTAAGTCGTTGACAAAGAGGAGTCCTGTTCTCTGAAAAATATAATATGAGACAAAGAATGAACACGGTTCCAATCTTTTATGTTTTTTAAATAGAAAAGTGAGGGAAAAGGTAATGAATATGGCGCAGATCACCAACAGCTCCTCTCGGAACAAGGTATGAAATAAAACAAAATAAATTATAGAGAGACTGCCATTGTTAAAAAAAATTCTCATTTTTAAATATTATTTCTTTTTTAATATTACGAAAATTGTAATATCACTCATTTGGCGTTATTATTCTTTTTTTATTAAATGGACATTGTAGATTGAAAGAATCGACCGAAAATAATATCTAAATTCATTGGATAAGATTTTAATTTAACTTATTATTTTAAACTTGAATAATGGAAATATATTCTTTTTTTTTTAGGTTTCATCCGTAAATGTAAATATATATATATATATATATATATATATATATATATATATATATATATATATATATATATATTAGTCTGTGGAACAAACGCCTTATTATCAAATTATTAACATTGCCTAAAACTTAGTGAATAGCTGTTTCTCATCGTAACCTCCAAATATTTTATTTACAAAATTCTTGGAATTGGGATGTTTTCTATCTGGAGATCGACAAATTTTATCTATTTAATTAGGTACTAAAAACTCATGAATACCTATTTGCTTTTAACTTGAATTCTAATATAATATGATCACAGAATCGAAAAAAAAGGCGGTCTTTGAAAACACTAGGCCATTTAGCCTATACAAACTCGTTATTTTGACATTTTGGGGGTGGAAGTCATGCCAAACGGGCCAATATTTTTGTAAGCCACTTTTTTTTTTACTTTGTGATCATATTATCTTACGTTTCGAGTGAAAAGCAAATAATTATTCCATGAGTTTTTAATACCTAATTAAATAGACAAATTTTACCGATCTCGAAATTGAAAAAGCCCCAATTCCAAAAAATTTCGTAAATAAAATATTTGTAGTCTATGATGAGATGAAGCTGTTAACGAAGTTTTAGGGGGATGTTAATAATTTGATAAAAATATGTCTGTACTACGGACTATATTTACTTGTTACCATAAAATCTCATGGTAAATAAGGAAAAAATAATAAAAAGTGTCTGGGGTACTAGACCTATATCCTTTTACTCAAATTAGGATAATTAAAAAATATATATTTAAAATAAATTAAAATAACTTTGTTTTTTTAAAATCCAAAAAAAAAAATATAAGCAAAGCCTGTTTGAAAACAAAATCTGTTGTCTTTATTTAACATATATAAATATAAAGCATGGAATTATGCATCTTACTCCTTGGCTAATTCAATTATAAAAAATTGTGCCGGAAATTCCTTACAATTTTCATTACATCTTTATAATTGATCAGTCAACTATAGTCCGTGGTACAGACCAATTTTTATCAAATTATTAACATCCGCCTGAAACTTCGTGAATAGTTTCATTTCATCATAACCTACAACTATTTTATTTACGAAAACTCTTCGAATTGGGGCGTTTTCAATCTGGAGATCGACAAACAATGTCTATTTAATTAGGTATTAAAAACTCGTAAATACCTATTTGCTTTCCACTTGAATCGTAAGATAATTTGATCACAAAATCGAGAAAAAATGTGGCCTACAAAAATATTGGGCTGTTTGGTCTTTATAACATCATTATTTTGACATTTTGAGGGTACAGGTCACGCCAAACAGCTCAATATTTTTGAAGGCCACATTTTTTCTTAATTTTATGATTAAATTATTTTAATATCCAAGTGGAAAGAAAATGGGTATTTACGATTTTTTTAGTACCTAATTAAATAGACAAAGTTTACCGATCTCGAGATTGAAAACACCCCAATTCCTAGAATTTTCATAAATAAAATAGTTGTAGTCTATGATAAGATGAGATAATGCTATTTATGAAGTTTCAGGCGGATGTTAATAATTTTATAAAAAGGGGTCTGTACCACGGACTGCTACTTACCCATCTGTAGAGATTTATTTTATTTTATATTTATTATTAAATGAATGATATAATTAAAATTATTGACTGGTATTTCCAAAAATAAAAAAAAAAAACGCCTAATTTTAATTTAAAAACAAAACAAAGAACAAAACTGAAAGTTGTTTTTGATTTACAGTGAGAGCAGTGAAGTTCATAAAAGAAGTGGAGCGATCGAAGCAGTTGTCCATACACAGCCGATGGAGGTCACCTGACCATTCCACCGCCCTCTTATTATCATAGTCAATTATCAAATTTCTTGTATCTATTTTTTTTTGTCTATACATTACTATTCTCTTGTTTATGCATTATAAGTGTATGCATCGAGAAGGAAGTTTAATCGCACTAAATTGTATATTGAGAGGTCCAATATGCAAATGGTAAACTGTTTGAGCGTAGCCTGTGATTGTTGAACACTGACATGATGCCTGTTACCCAGCTCTCCCCTCCCTCACATTCCTAATTAAAAGAAAAAAATGAAAAAAAAAATTGAATGTGAAAGCCAGTAATCAATTTTGTATATATAAATGAAATTCAAAGAGACTATTGGGTACTATATACCTTCTGTTGATGTGACCCATTTTGAATCGAACTATTATAAATATTTATATTATGTACCTAATCTTTATATATGTATACATAAGTATGTATATGTATATGTTTGTATATATACAATCCCTTTAATAGGAATTGGAATCAGTAATTTATTTCTTCAGTATTAAGCTTTTGCTGAACATAAAACTTTTTGAGCATATGTGTATTATATATATATTGTTAATAGTTGTATATATGTGTATATGATATATAGAATCGTTTTACGTACCATCAGAATCATAATATACGGCAAATGTAAATGGTCTGGAGGTTTCTGTTTTATTTAAAGCATTTGTATTTTTTTAATTTTGTTATTGTAGTAATCTTCATTTTGGCGAAATTCTTATTATTATTAAGATCGTAAACAAAACTTTTTTTATTATTTTTAATAGTAGTGATATTAATGATTTTAATACAAATTGTGATGATCCTGTACTGTACATCTGCAATGAAAATTATTGTAAATTGAGTTCTAGATATGTTGTTTTATTTATATTTAACTGAAATTTTTTCATGCTTTGTTGAAATTTTATTTTGACTATATATGTTTATAAGTTGTGTGATGATCTAATTAATTTGCCAAAACAAAACAAAAAAAAAAACAACTTAAAACTAGTAATATGAATGAAGTTAACTTTAACATCTTTCAGGCCTACATAGCCCTCTCATTATGGACTTTTTTGCCTAAGAGATTTTGTAAGGGAAAAAACTGTATATTTTGTTTCACAAATTGAATATACAAAAGTGATAAACGCTTACCTAGGAATGGAAACCGTCTCCATGTTATAGTTAGATATATATTTTTTTTTTTTTCTTTTTCTTTTCTTTTTTTTTTTTTTTTGTAAAAGGCGATATTTAGATGTGTAATTAATCTTTATGTGCGTACAAATCGAATAAAGGGGCAATGTGAATTTATCTTTATACCCCTCAAAATGTGCACCGTTTGAATTGTTCCGTTGACTCTCTTTGTTAAGAGGTTCCACTGAACCATTCCATCGGAGCAAGCAAAAAATAAAACGCTTATTGTAATTTTAATAACAGTGGAAAGGATTGTCCGTAATATTTATTCAAGTCCTAGTTAATGGCATGTTACGGGTGTTATTTTATTAAAACATTACAGGAATTACAAAATTTTTTGATGTATCCATTTAGTAAATAAAAATTGCATAACTTATGGTGATATTAATTCGATAAAAGTTTTAAAATTGTACATATATATATATTTCAAAGGGTAAACTAGTGAATATTTCATATTGTTATAAATATTCATTTTCAGTTAATTCATTGAGAAAATCTTTTTACTAGAAGATAATTTCAGTGAAATAAACAAATAACAACTGCTCCTTACAACTGTCTTCATTTTTCATTTCCATAATTAATTTTTCTTCCATCTAATTTATTTTAGGATATAATTAGAATATTCTAAACATCTAGCTTTGAATCTCTAAAACATTAGCGAAAAACTAACCTAAGATTATGGCAATTGAAGCTTTATCAGGAAAGAAAAGCAGGATAACATTGGTGCAGATCCCATACAATACTGTATTCTAAGACCGTCCAATGCAATGCCTCAATTGATTAAACTTTGACTACGTAGTTATTAATCGGCATCTTTGAGTCACAAGGCTTGCTAACTTGTGTTTGGAATTTTCCAGTTATATTCTAACAACATATTTATATCTATTTTTTGAATCTTTGCTCATCTATATTGATTTTTTTTTTTCAACTAGCTTTATCTAACCACTAGTTACTGTGGCTCAGTCTGGCTAAGTGAAAAAGAAAGAAAATATAAAGTACACTTTTTTGATATGTTTAATTTTGTGTTTATTATTTTATAGCAAGTAAAAATGTAAAAGTTTGTGTTAAAAATTTTATATCCTGAAAAGTTTTTTACAATTGCCTTGAAATTTTTGGTTGGAATAAATACATGGTTTTGTTTTATATACCTGTTATTATATAAAAGGTGAGGTAAAACTACAATTTTTTTTTAACAGCACCTCTTGGATATAAAAGTAACACAATTTATAATTATTAAGGAAGGAGATGGTCCGGGGTGGCGGTCATAAATAGGCTAAATCAGTGAAGATCAGTTCTTAGTGAAACTCCTAGCTGAACACACCTCCCTGAAGAAGACCTGCAAAGTCGGGTCGAAATGTCGGCTTTTAATGAAATAGTTTTACCACTATTTAGCCTATTTATGAACGCCACCCCGGACCATCTCCTTCCTTTATAATGCAACGGTCAACTATTAAATATTCAATATAATTATTAAATGTGGCTTTACTTTGGAACTGAGCTATACAGTTTACCCTAGTGTTTATTTTGTGTGTATTAGAAATGTCTTCCTCCACCCCCGAGTAATTTCGATTAATATCCACACTTAAGATATTTGAATGCCCTCTTAAAAACAACTTGAAATGTACTAAATGTAGAATTATAAATATTGTAGTTCAAATAATAAATAAATTATACTCATAAAATGAACTGTATGATAAACGACACAGCTTAATTCCAATGTAATGTTATAGAAAATAATTTAATAAAAAATAATATACACCGAAATCAAATTTCCCAAAGAAACCTAGAACATAAACAATAATAATTATTACTCAATGACTCACTATTTTTAAATAATTGCATATCAAATATTTGAGGTGTATCATATTACTAACATTAGGAAATATATAAATAGTATATGTTAATATTGACCTGCATAAGGAGTTTTTATATCACTTCTTCAAATGATAATCTCGATTACTTCAGTAAATGTTAAGTTTTCAATTAATCAAAAACAAAAAATAAAATAAAAAAGGAAACAAGTCTTTGAACATTAAAAAGATCCAAATGTTTAAAATGCTATATCTCAGCACCTAATCGTCCGATTTCAGTGGCTTTTTTTTGTTTCATTTTGTAGAGAATTCAGAAAACATTCAAATACTTATAGGTATAATACACCAATAATTTTGTACTTTTTAAGTTGTTCACAAATAAAATTCTGAATCCATCATACTTTTTTTCGGGGCAGCATATTGTATACATAGATTAAAAGGGTATTTAGTCATTGAGTTATTAAGTCATTGAGTCATTAAGTCATTGAGTATAGCATCCAGGAGAAGACTATAGCCAAGTTTAATTAAAATCATTACAATCTACAGTTACACACATTTTTTGGCCACATATCCAAAGCGAAATGCTAGGTGCTAATGAAATGTTTTTAAAAACACTTTTGAATTCAGTTGCACTGTTGTCAAAATTTCAAAGCAATTGGTAAAGAACTTTCGGAGATTCGCAGTTTTGAACAAATGAACATTTACATTTTTATTTATATATATATTTAAAGGTACTAGTATACCCCGTGAGAACTCTCACATTAGCTATCCTTCTTCCTAATACTTTTTATGTACAAACAACATCAGCGAAACATGATTTTTCGTATATACAATGTAATATTATCAAGATAATCTATTCAACACACAATTTGTGAATCTTCATACTTAAACACGACTGTCAAAGTAATAAAGCACTTAATAAATCATTAGCATGTCAGACTTGAAAATAAACCTCCACTACATTGGTTGGGCACTAAGATACGACTAACTCTGAAATTATACTAATCCTTATACTTCCTCAAGAGTTATTTGTTTGATGTAGAAGAGTTGGTTTGTAGTTCTCTTACTAAGAAGAGTGTAGAAATATATTATCGATAATATGAAGTAGGCGTTGATGACCTGAGGATTTTATGTCTGTAAACAACAACAAACAAACCGAGAATATAGAAGCCATACCTGAATATTAACAAATTTCTATTCAATTCTAATCTGTGGACCAATAAATTTATTTATGATAGAAAAGTTCTCACAGGCTCAGAATGGACTAATACCATGAAATTAAACGTTAATTATGCTCCTCTCCGCGGAGTATCAGGGGCTGGAAGCCAGGTTAACTGAAATGTTGGACCCCTCTGCTGCTAATGTGACCGAGAGTAAGAAACCCCAGCTCATGTGTTGGGCAATTGTCATGCTCCTAGTCCCGGTGGCACAATAATATAAAGCGTCGAATTGCTTGAAATAAAGAACTATAAATGTTTCCTCGAAGTTAACTGCCTGGATACAGAAGGCTCAACAAGGTTCATTGACATCTTGGAGTTCAATGCGATGGAAATGCCTTGCTCATATCCGTAAATATTCTCTCAATAATTTCCACATAATTGTAATAGCTGGATTTGTTGGAACACTATCCCCCTTTTCAGGTTTAATAATTTAGTTCAGCTATTTGTCTTTTTTATTATTACTTGACCGTTCTGTTCTGTTGCGTTCCTGTCAGGTCTCTGCACTTGAAACTTGTTTAGCAGATGACCAATTCTAATCATTGTATTGGAATTCACCCATCATAATTTACAAGTTTTGCAAAATATATTAAGAAGATTCATGGAAATATCCATATTCTTCAGATAAAATTAATACTGTAAAAAAATTATAGTTGAAATTATAGTTTGTCATTCATTATTATTTTTTTTTTTTGACATTACAGACCATGTAGATCTTTTGCCGCCTTAACAAGCCTTCTCCATCTCTGTCTTTTTTGGGCTATTTCTTTCCAGTTATCTATATGCAATTCTATT